AAAAGTTCTCATAACTGGTTGCATAACACTACATCGGAATAAAATAACGAACCAACCTTAGACACTATCCCAAGGGTCCATCCAACCATGTGTCACATAGGTAGCTCTTGAGTGCTATGTTGATTGACACTCTCTACTATTCTACGAAGCTAGAAAACATTCAAAATGACTACTTGATAGTTTATTTTTGGATAGTTTTATTTCTATGTGATGACTACACATAATTTATGTTTACAAGACTAAATAGGCAAAAGAACTAATCAAAATAGGATTGTTAAGCTATTACAAACCCTCTATATACTGTATAAAATATGAACAAAATCGAAAAACATAAATATACACAAATATTAGATCAAACAAAATGATATTCTCCTATACTTTATTCCTTCATATAGCTTTTGAGTGTCATGCTGGTTGATACTCTACATCATCTATGGAGCTAGAAAACCCCTAAAATAACTACTTGGATGCTTTGTTTTGAACAATTTTGCTTATGTGTGACTACTACACATAACTTACGTTTACAAAACTAAAATAACCGCAAGAGTAAATCAAAATGGGGCTATTAAGCCTATTGCTAGCCCTCGACATGCTATGCAAAGAATGAAGAATGACACAAACATATACAAATATCACATCAAAAAACATGATATTCCCCCTCACTTATTTCTTTGATGTCATTATCAAAATCTTTTCAAACGTTGCATCTTCATACCTTTGTTGAATTTTTAATTTTTTGCTCTAATTACAACATACCTCTTGAGTCCCAACCGGTCTTTGCCACTATTATTGAGTAGCTGAACTTTAATTCGCCAATACTACTTCAACTCATCAATGACTCTAACTCTGGTGTGGGGTCGATCTAGTTATGATGCTCTTGTTGATTCCTCTAAATTCGTCAAATGAAGGAAAGACTTTCCTTATTGTGGTTAGTCTCTAAAATGTCTCGTACCGCTTGAATTGAATGGATGCCTATTGGAACCTTAACAAGTATCGCTTTATAGACTTTAAAATTTTTAAAGTTTTTTCTCCGTAAAATTTGCTAATCGATTCATTTTCTACTTAGTTGTCACCTCAAGTAGGTTCATAACACTTTCAATTTCAATTGACATTCTATTATAAAATGAAGTGGACAATCTACTCTATGATAATTGATCATTATTACTAAGGACTGACAATTATTATCTTCCACTAAGATTTTTCGAAGGGTCTTCGAACATATGTATAAGAGAACTAAGATAATTGGTTTTGCTCGTTCTCTTAAGAATTGATAAGACAAAGATTGCTTGACTTTACTTGCCTCCTCGAGGATTGTATTTTATGCATCAAGTTGATTACTAATAATTATCCTTACCTCTATGATCTTTGCATAACTCTTTCATTTATTGATTAACCCATCTCTCGTTACACGGTCTCATCATTTGTTAAACACCCCGCTTACCTTGAGCACCATCAAATTCAGTTGCCAATGTCAAGTCATAGCTCAAACTCAATCATCTCAACTTTTGTGTGTTACGTGTTCTTTTCAGCTCACTTGTCCTTGTGGTGCCTCTCACGTGAAGGGTTGGTCATTTCTCTAAATGCAAATTTCAGATGCTTGCTTCTTTGAGTGACTCCTTGCCTTATGTCTATACATTTGCTTTCCTTAAACAGTTATGCCTGCTAGCTACCCTCAATGCAGCCCAACTAGGTCTCCAATATTTACATGTAAAGTTTTTTGAAGTATGTTTGTTCTGATATAATACCATCTATCACTGATTTAACTAGTTTATCTAAGTTATGCGGTAATCTTATGTGTTCATCTGCAAAGGGTTAACCTCTATGAAATATCTTATGATCCCTTAAGGACATGCAAAAGAGAAAATAGATTAAAGGAAGTATGTAACTTGAGATTTCATAAGTAATTATTTCAGTAAACACTTGATTAACAATACAAATTACAAATATAGACTTTGCAAGTTCTAAATGATTGTAAGATAAATGGTCTAAGGTGGTTTGTCACAATAAAAAGTCTCCATAAGTACCCACATAACAATGTTGTGAAACAAGATAGTGAACCAACCCTAGACACTACCTCAAAGGCTCATCCAACTATGTGTTATCCATATAACTCCTTAGTATTGTGTTAGCTGATATCCCGCACCACTCTATAAAACTAGAAAACTTCCAAAATAACTATCTGGATGATATATTATTGGACAGTTTTACTTTTGTACGATGACTACACAACCTACTTTGTATAAAACACATATAAAAGCTATCCAAGTCTATTAAAATACTAAATGATATAAATATACACAAACACTATATTAAAGCACATATTTGTTCGTGATAAATATGCATAAATCAATTTGCATAAATAAATTCTCGACAGCACTTATAATGAAGACAGTGATAGAATTGAGGCAGCTAAATTTCTTGTTATCCTCACAGCCCAAACACATGTCATATAATCCGGAATATATGTACATATTTTCTTGGATTTGAAATCCATGCTTCTTAGCTCCTTAGCTCATTACTGCTCTTGAATTCTTCCCGATGACTTATGCAAGCTCTAGAAAACTTGACCAAGCTAGCTTTCTTGAGATATCTTTCTTCAAGTTGTACCTATCACTTGCATTCTTCTGGTTTCAACGATGGGTGATGCTGTTGTCTAAAGCGACCATGAGATAACAGTGCAGGTGTGAATCCAAAGAACTTAATTCGTATAGACGACCTTGACTCTCAGAGAGAGAGAGAGAGAGAGAGAGAGAGAGAGAGTAGTTGAGATCGTAAAACGTGTGTATTGGTTCTCTGCCAGTGCAGACATCAACACCACTCCACCGAAGGGAAACAAGGAATTAAAAGGAATCCTCCAGTGGCAAGTCTGTGGGTGGTTGGCTCATCTGTTTCCTTGGACCAAAGAGACTTCAACAAACCCTCTGTAGCCACTGTAAGAGCGAATCAAAGACTAGAAAGTTGAAGAACAAGTTATTGATGCTGTGGTCTCAAGGATTCTTGCTCTCCTTGTTGCTTGCTGATGCATGGTTGAATTCATGCTACCTTCACACTCACATGCTGCAACAGTTGAGAAACCTGTGGCTATGAAGAACTTGTGGTGTATGTATAAAGAATACTGATAGCCAAAAAGAATGCTCCACCATCCTTGACTCCATAGACTCTATCGTGTAAGCTTAGATCATATTTGTCTTCACAGTGAACCTAATTACCTGTGAAGTCATATGAACCAGTCTATGAACATGTTAAGGTATCTCATGCTTGCAAGGAATATATGAACAGTAACCAAGGATTCAAATGAAGAATTAGGCAGAAGCTTTGAAATCTTAGCCTGAGACTTAATGGTGTTCTTGCTGTGGTCCTCCATCTACCAGCAACACAGGACATGACGCTGAGAGTGATCGCCATGTACTCATCTACGACTGTTGCAAGTCAAGTGCAGGCCGCTTTCAAAAGCGTCGTAATGGGAAGAGACCGAAACACCATTCAACAGAGTTGGAGGTGCATCAAATCATCAAGATAAGAACCACACTTCCTTACCGGTGGTTGATTCTAATCGAGGACTCCTCATCTTGGACACGATCACAACTATCCTCTTTCTTCTATCTCTAACTTCAACACGAATGGGCAGACAAATTTAGACGAGGCACAGATTTAATCCTTGTTTGTATGAGATCTGCGCAACAGCTTGCCGTGAGAGACTTCTTTTCTTCTCCATGTCGTCGATGTTTGTGTCATAGAACACCTTCCAATCCTCTGATGCTTCAACCAACCGACCGAGGTTGCACATCAGAACAATGCCTTCTGATGAACAGTGCAAGTCATTGATAAGGACTGCTGCCAAGTTCATTCATGTCAACAAAAGACGAAAGAGAAGCAATCGAAAGCCACGCAGACAAGCATCCTTCTTTGACTTGAACTCCCCCGTAAGAGTACTGTCATGCACCAAACAAAGGATCCAACACTACTTAGAAGAACACGACTGCCGCAGACTCTCTTCGACCTGATAATGCCATGGTTGACCCCTCTGCTTCAAGGCTCTATAAACAATTAGGACTCTTTGCAAGATACTTATATAAAATATTCCTGGAGAGAGAGAGAGAGAGAGAGAGAGAGATTTGTGGCTACAGATGTTTGAGGACGACGTGACGAAGAATATGCTTTATTTATTCCCCAAGCAACAGCCATGTAACCTTTGGCCCAAGTCAAAAAAGATTGTGCTCCCGATCTATTCTCTTTCTCTTACTGATTGCTATTAAAGATTCAGTAATGCTGTGCTTTCTCTTTCTCTTCCGTTGAAAAGAACTCATTCTACACATGAAAATGAAGAAAAGGGATAATTTTCTTGTTTAATAGCATAACTTGGTCAGTGATTTATGAAAATTAAGGAGATGCTGGCCTAATCTTGACCATGTTATAATAATACAACTCTAAACCAAAAGATTATCTTAACATCAAATGTTACATGCAGTCATCTTAAATCCCATGATTCACTGAGCAGCAGTCAATTGGGCCACCACATAAATATGCTGCAACAATGTCAAGTTCCTCAGCAATCATATGATGGATTAAGAATGACTGAGCAGCTCCCAGAAAGACTTCTATTTATGTTGTCTCTTATGATCAAATTAGAGAGAAAAGGTTAATGTATGATTGCTAGTATCTCATTCCCCTGTTTTATAAATGTTATATGTTTCAAATTCGCGAAATTTCATATCAATGATGAATAATTCATTGATAGAGTAAATTTGATTATCACTGTTTCCAGGAGTTCGATAATTCATTTACGAAAACTAATGCTAATGGCTCCCCTGCTAGATTGCAGCTTTCACTTGTGGAATCATGTGTTGAGGTCATCTCATTCGTATCATTGTATATAATATACATATATTGACCACGTTGACTTGCGTGGGTTTATGCACCTCTCATTGGGGTTGTAGTTGAAATGACAAAACTACCCTTCTCCCGCATTATATCCTCCCATGTCTCCCTCCTCCATCAAGAAGTGCCTTCTCTCCAACGGAGGGGTGACGGGCGGGGACAGACGCCTGCGGTGACGATGGAGACGTTCTTCGCCGGAGAGATCGCGACGGAGCTGGTGAAGGAGCTCCTGAAGGTTGTAAGGCGGACGTACCTATGCCGGCCGGCGGCGGAGCAACTGAAGCGCTCGGTGGACGCCCTGCTCCCCATCGTCCAGGAGATCCGGCACTCCGGCGTCGAGCTCCCCCAGCACCGCCAGTCACAGCTATCCGAGCTCGCCGACCAACTCCGCCTCGCCCTCGACCTCGCCCGCAAGGCGGCCGCGTCCCCTCGGTGGAACGTCTACCGCTCCATGCAGCTTGCCCACCGAATGGAGCGCCTCGATCGCTGGATTTCCCGGTGGGTCGAACGCCACATGCCCGCCCACGTCCTCGCCGATGTCCACCACCTTCGCGTCGACTACTCCGCCCGCCTCGATCGCATCGAGCGGACCCTCGACATGACGGCCGCCTCCGCGGCGTTGGCGGCTGCGAGGGTTCCGGTGGCGGTGGGGAGCGTTCCGTTCTCGGGGTCCCCGCTGACGGAGATGATGGACGGGTTGGTGCCGGCGGCTGCGGCGGCTCCGGTCCCGGTGGCGGTGGGGACAGCCCCGTCGTCGGGATTACCGGTGGCAGAGATGATGGAGGGGTTGGTGCTGAGGGGAGAAGGTGAGAAGCCAGTGGGAGTCGGAATTAGGGTGGGAAAGGAGCGGGTGAAAGAGATGCTAATGGCGGGTGGTGATAGGGCGGCGGTCGTTGGAATCTCGGGGATCGGTGGGAGTGGCAAGACAACGCTTGCCAAGGAGATCTGCAGGGATCCACAGATTCGAAGTAAGGGTCTTCGGGGCTTATGTTTTATCTCTAAGTTGTTCTTGTTCTTTTTCTTTCTGGGCTTATTGAAGGTTGCATTTGGGAATTTGAAATTCCCTCTGAGTTCATATTTTGATCCATTGCTGCCTAGTGGTTCAAAAAAAGTTCTGAGCTTTTTCACATCTCTGATCCAGAAAAGCCTTAAAGAGCCTGCTAATTACTTCTTGCAGTAGACATGCTTGTTGATCATCTGCTTCTCATTGACTTGTAGAGTTTCAATCATTTAGAGTAGCCTGCTAATTACTTTTGTTTCGGTGTAGTCTGTTTTATTATTGAATGAGATTCGCAAACCTGAATCATGTTTCGATTTCTTCTCCTTTTCTGTTTTTTCTTAGATTGACTAGAGATATTTACATTCTTATTACAATCTGCTAAACTAGATGATTGCTTTCTGAAATTGGGCTAAAACATAACTATATAACTTCAGATGACTGTAGAACAGTTGCGAGCATGTGCTCTAACAATTTTGCTTCTTTGGATTGTTTTCTTTCCATCAGGTTACTTCAATGATAAAATTTACTTCGAGACTGTATCACAATCTCCAAACTTGGAGAGTTTGAAGTTGAAGCTGTGGGAACAAATCACTGGTAATATGGTTCTTGGTGCTTATAATCAAATACCACAGTGGCAGATGGAATTGGGGCCAAGAGATAAAGGACCAGTTCTTGTGGTATTAGATGATGTGTGGGCTCTTGCCGTGCTTGAAGAACTTCTTTTCAGAATTCCAGGGTACAAGATTCTTGTGGTGTCACGGTTCAAGTTCCCTTCGGTTGTCAAGAACAATTACGAGATAGAATTACTTGGAGAAGAGGATGCTTTGTCTCTCTTTTGCCATGCAGCTTTTGAGCAGCAATCTATACCATTCACTGCTGACAAGAAGTTGGTAAAGCAGGTAGCATTATTATTTGCATTCTTCTTAATTCATTGATGCAAAGGGTTAGGCATAACTCTTATCATTCTTCTGCCTTATTTCACTTTTTTTCTTTATTACATTTCTCCACAAAATGGGTTTAAAGTAAGCATGAAAAAAATGATAAATTCATTTTTTTGAAATATATTTCTCAAAATTTTGAGTTATCACAGAATATATCTTTTAATATTTCTCCGGTATCATTTTGTTAACTTCCATGTTTTAATCCTATTTCATGGATTTGTATTATGTCTGATATAATAGTATTTGACTAGTTGATCGCCAAGTTCCTTTAAGTAATAAGTAAACATTATGATTCTTGTAGTCTTATCATATCTTTAATTTGTTTCACAAGGCTCATGATTTTCTTTGTTAACGGTGTTTCTTTTAAGTGTATACCATTATAGTTTTGTTTTCAGTTATTACTAGAACTGATTTGAATCCTAAATGCAGGTTGTTGAGGAGTGCAAAGGGCTTCCTCTGGCTCTGAAAGTTATCGGTGCTTCTTTACGAGATCAGCCTCCAAAATTTTGGGCAAGAGCCAAAAACAGGCTTGCTCGAGGAGAGGCCATATGTGACTCCCATGAGAATAAATTGCTCGAACATATGGCATCAACCATTGGATTTCTATCAGGCAAAGTTAGGGAGTGTTTCCTAGATCTTGGCTCCTTTCCTGAAGACAAGAGGATCCCTCTGGATGTGCTAATCAATATGTGGATGGAGCTCCATGATCTTGATGAAGAAGATGCTTTTGCCATTCTAGTGGAGCTTTCAAATAAAAACCTATTAACTCTGTTCAAAGATGCACAGTAAGTGAAATGCCTCTGATTGCTCTGAATATTCCATGTTCTCAACAAAGTACCTTACTTGAGTCTTATGCCTGCTTCAGGAACAGGGCTGGAGATATTTATAGCAGTTATATGGAGTTTTTCGTTACTCAACATGATGTGTTGAGGGACCTGGCTCTTCATGTGAACAATTGTGAACCTTTAACTAGTCGAAGGAGATTAATTATGCCAAGGAGGGAAAATGAACTTCCAAGAGAATGGGAGAGGAACAAGGATGAGCCATTTGAGGCACAGATTGTTTCAATTAATTCAGGTATTCAACTCCTACTTTTGCATGGCCATTTAGTTCTTTGGATTTTTTTAAGTTCTTTGATTATTTGCCTCTTTTATGTTGCATGATATGTCTAACCGTGATTTGTTCTTAATGTATTTGTGGAGTCATCAATGTCTCCTAAATGAGCAAAGTTACCTCTCTATTAGATCAAAAACTCCAAATGACTAGTGATTATATTTTATGTTCAAATTTTTTATCATTAAATATGCAGGGTTCATGTGAATATCTCTTTTTTAAGCTATCTAATTAGGTTAATGGAATATAATTTGCATCATCTGTAGAACAGATGTACCCTGCCCTGTTACAGTCTTGACTAATAGTGATCAGTACTAATGTTATCGGCGACAGATCTTCCACTGTTATTATACTTTAAATGGAATTTGTGCTTGTCTGATAGTGAAATTGACTCTTTACCGTCTCTGTTGCAGGTGAAATGAAAGAATCGGACTGGTTCCAGATGCATTTCCCCAAGGCTGAGGTTCTCATTTTGAATTTTTCCGCTGATCAGTACTCGTTGCCTCCCTTCCTCAGTACCATGCCTAAGCTCAAGGTTCTGGTTTTGATCAACCATGGCACCTCATGCACATTGATGCAGAATCTCTCTGTTTTCACGACTTTAAATAATTTGAGGAGCCTCTGGCTTGAGAAAATAGCTGTCCCTCCTTTGCCCAAAACCACAGTTCCCTTGCAAAACCTGCGAAAAGTCTCCCTTGTTTTGTGTGAATTAAATAATAGCCTCAGAGGATCCAAGGTGGATCTCTCCATGACACTTCCTCGTCTCTCTCATCTAACAATAGACCATTGTATTGACTTGACCAAGCTGCCATCTAGCATCTGCAATATCGGCTCACTCCAATGTATAAGCATCTCCAACTGTCATGATTTGTCAGAGTTACCTGGTGAATTCGGTAAGCTAAGTTCTTTAGAAATTCTCAGAGTATATGCTTGCCCATCAATAAAGAGGCTTCCCCAGTCTATTTGTCGGCTGAAGAGATTGAAGTATCTCGACATTTCTCAGTCTTTTAATCTCCGAGAACTCCCAGAAGAGCTTGGTCATTTGACAAGCTTGGAGAAGATTGATATGAGGGAGTGTTCACAATTGAGGACTATACCGAGATCCTCCTCATCCTTGAAATCTCTGGGACATGTGATATGTGATGAAGAGGTTGCTTTGTTGTGGAAAGAGGCAGAAAGATGTATACCGGATCTTCGCGTTCAGGTAGCCGAAGAATGTTTCAACTTGGACTGGCTTGTAGAGTAGTGTTCCTTCAAGACCTTTTTGGCCTGTGTCCTGTGTACATAACTGTAATTTAACTTGCATCAATGGATCCTTTTTGAGGAAAGCAAACCAAAGCAGTGTGCATGGTATTACCAATTGACTATGCTTGTAACCAGCTATTTTCTGTTCTAATCAACCATCCAGCTTTGCCTGAGATGACATTGGTAGTCTTGAGCTGTTTGAGAAATCCTTGCAAGTTATGTTGGATCAGGAGTGATTTCATTCCTACATTATTTCTCAGCTCATATATTTTATCTGCTGCTGATCGTAGTGGACAAACTTTCACCATCTCAGTCTAAGAAAATCCAAGCTAGGAGGAGGATGTTACATCAATCATGGTGACATCTGCCAACTAGTCAAACAAAAAATCACTGGAATCTTGAGAGGTGATGTCCAACTACTGAAGACAAGAATATTAGTTGAATCTAAACAGTGAGGGAAGCTCTTTCAGTTTCTTGGTTTTCTAACATCACTTATGGAGGACCTACTTGATCTTTCTTGTGGTAGTCAACTACCTTCTTTCCTGAATTGTTATTGCCTGGCCAACCATAGAAAGGAATGATAGCAATTAAAGAATGAAAATGCACTGAGGAATCTGTCACACTTGCAAGTGAGTTGCATCAGTATATGTCAGTCAAGTACCTGTCAAATCCTTTCTCAAAAGCATAGGTGGCAGTCTGTATTGATAAATAGTTTGGCAAACAGTCTCTGTTGATCCAGATGACAGAATGATATTATTCCCTGCACTTTAATTCTTTCAGATATGCCAGTCAACTTACTGAGGAGTTACTTGGTTGAAGAAGACTAAATGGTGTTGATGACAGGTGAAGCTTAACATGCCTTCTTGGTAGAACCCTTATTGTTTGAACTAATGTGCTTGCCATGGTTAGCTTCTCTGCCAGTCCTCCACAGAGAACATGAACAAAGAAATGAATGAGGAAACAACACATGTTCAGATAAACCCCACTACTCATATATTGCTAGATCTCATTGAAAGAACAGAACAAACGACTACCAGCTTCAATCATCTAAGTATATTGCTCAAATAGACTAACAATATTATGGTCAACCAGTAAGCTTATACACATGATTATGAGACCCAAGACAATATTTGATGAATGAGACTGGATTATAAGCATCAATAAAAGAGCAACTATTTCTCTATATGCAAAAAAACAGGTCAATGTAAAATTGGAACACTTTTGGCATGAGAGGAAAACAATAATTTTTGTCACAAATTTAGGTAATTTACAAATAAATATACTGATCAAGGCTCCAAAATACTTGTGTAATAAGCATACTGTCTGGTCTTCTTAAAATGGTTTCCAAATTCCTCAATTATCTTCATTAAAGATTTTGGGTTATCATCTCTCAGTGTCTTTTAGATTGTCAATATCAAACTCATGAAGTTTTAGGCTACTATACATGCATGACAAACGATATAACACCTATTGTTATTCCCAATCCCAACTCCAAATCACATCAAATACACTTCAAGAAAGCACATAGCAACCACATAAATCAAGAAATAACATTTAACTCATGCCAACCTACCTTAACAGCACTGTGTATATACGTAGGCAAATAATGCGTGCACATACAATGCAAGAAGGATTTACATTGTACTTTCTATTATTATTATTATTATTATTATTATTATTGGATAAAGCATAAATCATAACGATAATTTTTCTCCTTGTGTAATCTTTCAAACCATCCAATCTCATCTTCTGTTGGAATCTGAAACCTCCTTCCCCACCAGGAAAGCATAATCCATTTCTTCCATACCATCTTGTGTTTTGTCTTCTCCTCGCTTCTCTTTCTTGGTTTCCTTTCTTTGTTTCTGATATCACGATTGCTTCTTTGTTCTTTGCTTCAATTTCCTGTTACTTATTGGTTTGATCGAAAAGGATAAGAGACCAGCCTTTCGCATCTCAACGTGCTTCCACCGGCAAAGCACGTAGGATGTATCGATCTCAGAGGTTCTGTTTGACGGCCGTAAGGTGTGGTATCAGTTTCGGCCTTCGTCTCCTACTCCGCAAGGATCTTTGGGCGTCATAAAAGGAAACCCTGACCCTAACGCTAAGCCACTGCCGACTCCGAGTTCTTTGTTCAGTGTGTGTTCTCAATACGATCAAGGAGGGGTGGGTTGTCATGATGGCGAGCTGCGCGGCTTGCAGGTTCATGAGGAGAAGGTGCCAGCCGGAGTGCGTGTTTGCATCAGGCTTTCCGGCGAGTAACATGGTGAGATTCGAGCTTGTGCATCGAGTATTCGGGGCAAGCAACGTCCAAAGGCTTCTCGCTCAACTGAGACCCGAGCAACGACCGGAGGCCGCCGACTCACTGGTATATGAGGCTGATGCGAGGGTTCGCGACCCCGTACATGGCTGTGTACGCTACATGCACGAACTCCAGGACGAGTGGCAGCAAATCCAGCGACAACTCCACGACGCCAAGAAGGAGCTGTCCGCCTACGTCGGCCCCGTTGCTACCTCTCCCTCGCTCCCCCAGCCCTATCACCCTCATCGGCACCTCCAAGGCACGCCACTGTGCTCCACGACGGCATGTGGCATTGCGGGAATAAGCACTGATGCAGCCGACAGATCCACTCGTGGCATCATTCCGGGAACCGGCATTGGAATGGGGCTTGATCTTGATTCATCCGGCACATCGACTCCCCCGGAAATGGGCATTGGAAACGGGCTCTATCTTGATCCACCTGTCACATTGCGTGGTATTCCAACAACAGGGACCAGGATGGGGCTTGATCCTGATGGTCCCTCCAAATTGATCGATACTTCCAGAATGGGGACTGAAATGGGACTTGATCTTGATGCATCCTCGAGTGGTAGTCCGGGAACGTGCACCGCAATGGTGCTTGATCCTGATGCACCCGTCACATCGCCGCACCAGGAGAGCTTGATGCATGAACCGGAGCAGCAGCAGCAGATCATGGATGTGATCGCAGAGGGAGAGCAACTTGCGAGATCTAATCTTGGCTTTCCAGAAGTTCGTATTGTCTACAATGATCAGATTGGTGGTGGCATTACGTTGGCAGCGGCGGCAGGGCCTCCTTCTGGGCTGGGGTTGCCTCTGGCACAGCCATTCGAGGGGCCGTCCGCGGCACAGCCTCAGCAGTATACCGAGCAGCAGCAGCATCTGGGGCTGGTTCCGGTGCAGCCATTACAAGGGTCAGCTGCGGCACAGCAACACCGGCAGCATTTTTCTCCAGTGCAGCCATTTCAAGGGTCATTTGCGGCACAGCCTCAGCGCTGCATTCAGCAGCATCATGATATGGGGTTTCTTCCCACGCAGTCAATCCTGGGATCATCTACGCTGCATCCTCAGCACCACATCCAGCAGCAGCGGCAGCATCTGGGGATGGTTCCGGCTCAGCAATTCCAAGGGAATTATGCGGCACGACTCGAGCAACACATGGACCACACCCAGCAGCAGCAGCATCTGCCATTCCAAGGGGCATCTGCCACACAACCTCAGCTGCCGCTGACATTTCCGGCGCAGACATTCCAATGGCCGTCTGCGGCACAACCTCCGCCCTACAACAGGCAGCAGAATCACCATCAGCAGCGGAAGCATATGGACTTGTCTTCGGCGCAGTCAACCCAGTGGCCATCAGTGGCACAGCCTCATAACCAGACCAAGCAGCAGCACAACCAACAGCGGCGGCACCATCCGGGGTTGGTTCCTGCACAACCCTCCCAAGGGCCACTGGTCGTACAGCCTCAGCACCGGCACACCCAGCAGCGACAGACGACTCTTGGGCCGGTTCCGGCGCAGCCATTCGAGGGGCCATTTGCGGCACAGCCTCAGCAGCCCATCCATCATCATCCACAGTACGAGACAACCCAGAGCGACGATCTCGACTATCTTTGGAGTCGCATCGATCCGTCTTCCTGACTTCCTGGAATTTTGGGAACGACGTCTCTCCCTTTTTCTCATAGGTATGCAACAAACACTACGTCCTCCTCATGTTTTTTCTTGCTTCCCATTGGCTTTAAATGAAATAGCACCTTGAATTCTCTCACAGCTTGATTGTGTTTCTGAGCTTCATGGAGAATTAAAGAACACGAGAGACACGAATAGCGTAGACACAAAAAAAGTTCATCGCTAAAAGAATTGTGGCGCAGTAGACATACCAAATGATTCACTCTGTCAAGAAGATCTTGGGTCTTGCGACTGAATCCAACATCTAGTTAGACATACCAAATGACATATGTGCCATATTCTATATATATATATATTGTCTGCAATCCTGAACATAACAAAGACCTCTTCTAATTGATAGGTGTATGATCCGGTAAACTAGCATATTTAAATGTCTAACAAATGAAGTCACAAACACCGGTTGACCCACTCATGGAACACGAAGATTGAGTGAGAGACCAGCTCAATGCATATTTAAATGTCTAAACAAATGAAGTCACAAACACCGGTTGACCCACTCATACAACACGAAGATAGGGAGAGAGACCAGCTCGATTTCAAACGAGTGCTTTGCTTTGGTTGACTTGGCCCCGAGCCCAATTGGTACGGCCTGTCCGTATCGGAATGGTCACGTGGCATTGACGTCAACGGTGGACTTGGACTCGGTTTGCCGAAGCCGCGGCGCACGTCTTCCGCGCGACACGTGTGATCATACTGCCGTGGTCCACAGACTACGAGGTGGTAGCAGACGTGAGACTTGCAGCGGATCCACCGGAGCGTTGACTTACTAGTTATGACCTCTTCAAATGACGTGTCACACTGTTCCCACAGGGAAATATATTTATCAGATATAAGAGAAGCCAAATACATTTCTTATTGTGAAATTTTGTATTAATTAGAATTAAATTTTAATTGTATAAATATTTATCTTTGATTAGTATAGTTTATGATATATTCGGGATGAGTCGGATTCGGGTGTTCAGGTTCGGGTTCGGGCATTCCTTTGGTTTTCTAATGACTCGAAGTGCATAAAAGAAAATAGGAAAAAAAAAGGGAGAAAATGTCAGGTAAACCTTTTGACCTCAGGGAATGGCTCAGTTCGCGTGCAGCTTCCTTTGAAGCTGCGTGGCGGTGACACTGGACCAAATATGTCGCGCTCCTCGCGAGCGTCGTCGTCGCTCCTCCATTTCGGTCCAATACTGGAGTTTCCTCGCCTTCTCCACAGGTGACGCCATCGCTGATCGAAGCTCGGGGTTAGGGTCTGATCTCTTATTCCTGCGCTGAGGCATTTCCCTCCATACCATGTTCGACCCTTGCCCGCGCGATGGCTTGGTGGAACCGGAAGAACGCCGTCTCGCCCTCCTCGTCCTCGCCCTCGTCCTCGTCCTCCCCCGCCTCAATCGCATCCTCCCCTGTCGGTCGTAGCTGGTCCAGGGACCTCCACCTCCCCTGGAGCTCTCGCCGCGTCGCCCGCCAGCACGAGCGTCCCAAGCTCTCCGACATCAAGGTCGGTGGGTTGTCGTTCGACACTGGCGCCACCGCCGGCCCCTGCTTCGTGAGCTCGACGCCTGTGTCACCGCGCTCGAGCAATCTCAACTGCAACCCAGGCCGGATATCGTCATCCCTGATTCTGCTACCGCGGCCGCTTCCATTGCCCGAGTTCGTGGCGACGGCACCTGCGTCCCCTCATCGGGAGTGTACGTCGGCTCTGGGGTTAGGGCTTTCATCACCAAAATTGGCGGGTTGCCCTCTGCCCTCACCAAAAGGGGCTTCGAGTAGATCTGAGGGCAATGAAACGACTCATGCGCCTGCTGAGTGTTCCTCCATGGTGGATCCGATCAACGAGAAGGCGTTTTCGGGTGGTGTAGTTGGAAGGTTAGAGTCTTTCTAATTCCCTTTCATATCCTAGTAATGTCAATCTTTTTGTAGCAAAGCGAATAACTAAGAATTCGGTGTTTAACTGATAAGTAGCAGGAATTTATTTTTTTGACTTACTTTCATGAATCACCTGATTTGAAGAAGTTGATTTAGTATGAATTTTTTCGACGCTGCAAACTTTGTTAATTGGTTTCTCTTGAATGTTTAAATGGGTCGTGGGTTATCTAAATAATAATTGCAGCATTTGGTTTAATTTTTTAAAAATCTTGTGTTATCTTTATATCGCCAAAGCTTGTGTAAGTTGTTGTTCTTTATGCTTGCTATTCAACAATTTGTGTGGCTTATTGTTCCCTATCTAAATATTAAAAAATAAAAACTCCCAAGTGTATTGTTTATGGTGTCATTTTTAATATTTTGGTCATACCAATTCAGACTTCAACTATATGCTCTAGCCTTAATTGACAGACTTCTGATTTGCCTCCTTGACTCTGTAGTGTCTGTCTCCCTTCGCCTTTTGCGACCAATTTTGTGCTTTCTATAATTTCTGTGGCAGAATTTCATGGCTCCATGTACATTGGTTTTCCCAAACTATTGTTTTGGATAAAGTAGATGATCCCAAACTATTGTTTAGGATAAAGTATTTGATGATTTATGAAGAAATGTTCAATGAATAAATCATATCTTTAAGATAGGCAAAGAAAATATTGAGAGAAAGGCCTGCCAAGCGAGCCTAGCAGAATGACAAGCAAAACCAAGTGGAGTACAGGGTGTTACAAAACCTAATTAACTATGGTAAATAGTTCAGTAGAAACTAGATAGAATGCAGAACTATATTTTCTTTAGTAAGAAGTGGTCTCTCCTTTATATGGTTAAACCTTCGTTATGCGAGATCCCAACCTTGAACATATTTTACAGGAACTTGCTGCTAAAAGTTTATTTTGGTTGCGACACAAGTTTTAGAACGACAGTGTACTTTTGTCTAATCAAAGTTTCCATTTTGATTTGATCAAAAAATAGAAAAAAGCCCTTAAGTCTTTAGATCTCACATCATATGACATCTGTACTTGTGTATTTTATTGGTTAATTTTGGGATGGTCTTTTTTCTTAAGGATGGGCTTCAGAAAAGGATCTTGTCAATCCAGAGGGCTAGATGAGGGGAAGTGGCTGCTGACCTTTCTGTACTTGACATTTAAGCTCAATTTAAGCTCCATATTTAGCAGTTATATGTTTTAACAATTTAATCGAAGACCCCTTGTTGCTTAAAAGGTTCCAAACTAACCTACAAAATGATAGAGATAACTCTACACAGGTTTGTGTTTAACCAATTCTCCAGCCTATAGCAACCTTTATTTATTATTTGGTTGTAGACCTATTAGCAACCTGTATTTATTATTTGGTTGTAGACCTTGTACTGATATTAGTAAGAGTTAGCTCACAACACAAATTAGTAACTCAACAGCTGAAATCTTAATCATTTAAGGAAATTTATCTGTAAATTTCTTCCAACTTGTAAGTGCCATTATGTGAAGAAGTTAACCTTCCCTATTGTTTTATTACTTCTGATGCTTTTTTCTCTTAAAAGAGTACTATCCCAATTTCTCATTGTTGGGCACTTAAAATATTTGAAGAACCTGTCTGGGCACTGTTCTTATATGGGGGAACCAAATAGTTGCAGAATTTTGACAGTCATGAAGGTAATCAACCACAGCGAAGAACATCATCATATTCAAGGTTATTCAAGGTTACTGAAAACAAGTTTGTGTTTTTCTGACCATGTTGGATTTTTCTAACTAACAGTGCACACTATCTGATGTCCTCCATACCAATCTTGATAATTAATCTAATTCCTTTCATTTTCCAATTTGATATGTTTACTTTGGATTTGTTGAGACAAGGTGGTGAATCTTTGGGTGTGTACTCTATCAAGGATTCTGTCAATCAGAATTGCTTGGTTTAGGAATAAATTTATAGTTATTCCTCGTGGCAACAAACATCTTTTCGCCTGGGCCAATACATACCGACCAATATTTACTAGTCCGGTTGTGAACTGGCATGTGGACCCAACCCATTTCGAGTGGTCTGGTCTGCTTTAATCAAATATACATGTATTATATTATATCTTGATTCTTTAGGTCCCTGTGAGACTTCCACATTCTCCTTCTCTTCGTCCTAACCACCGCTTTCACTGGATCACTGACTTCACCCAGTTGCTGTCTTCACCCGATCACCGTCCTCTGCCTCATCGCTCATCTCTTTTCTGGTATTCCTCCTCCTTCATTCTTCCTCTTTCTCTTTCTTCCTTCTTAACCTCTGCTATCTTCACCGATCGCAGTCATCCATTTTATTATAGCACATCAGCACTTTGTTTGATATTTGTATGTTTCATTTGCCATCATATTCATTATTTTTAGCAGGAACCATGTGCTTTTCCATGCTACACAGCCACCATTTTGGCTCAAGTGCATGCTTAAAGCTTGCGTCTCTGATATAAACATGATGATGAAACGAGGTCCCTAAGCTTGTTAGATAACCTGCCACAGAAAGCATTAAATAAGATGTAACCCTGTACCAGGATTCTACCAAAAAGCACGAGTAAGTTGCCTACAGATACACCAAGTGCTGTGGCACCTTCTTGTTTTTCATAATTTTCAGTCTCCACTTTCTTTTTTGAGTCTTCTAAATAAAATTTACTGGAGAACTTACTACAGAAATTTGGATAATGCATAACATAGAGTTAAATATGCATTATTTGTGGTGTATGTTTCTTGGGGTTAGTGTTCTTTTATGTGATTCTTCATGTTGACTTTACCAGATCTAGATCTTTCATTTTGTTTCTTGACATTCTTCTGGTGGTCCTTTCTTTCAATTTTCTGTTAGTGTAACAAATTTGCCTTTTTGGGGGCTCTTTTCCCATAAACACCTCATAATTTGATTTATCAACCAAATTATATTTTGCTCTATGAAGATAATCGCTTTGCTTCTGTATAAGCAACAATGTTGTTGTTCTTGTTGTGGGTACTTTAAGATTTTTTGCTTATTTTTTGCAGCAGGTTTCCTCACCAGAGTTTGCACAGAAGTTCAGAGCGCAGCGGCATCTCGTTGAATGGATTTACTTTTAGACGTCACAGAAAGAGATTTCAAGATCCAAATTCTGCAGGATATGTTAACTTTATGCTTAATATCCCAGCTAAAAGTGCTCCAGCAAGTGGGTTCTCAAGTCCTGTGCGGAGTCCTATAAGTAGTCCTCGGAGATCAAATAATGTTGACTTTTCCACCATTGCAACTCGAGGGCTTCAAGTAAGGTCAGCTACAGAGATGCCATCCACAGATAGAGAATCTGTTTTCCCTCTGCAGACTTCATCTGAGGAATTTATTGGTGGTCCTGATCAAACAGCTAAAAGTCTTGTCTTAAGAACCAGAAATCCTACTACACCTTCTTCCCCATTGCATAGAAAAATGTTCTCAGATAATTCTGCTTCATGCCAAGAAAATGGTGGTAACATTAGTGTTCACCCACTTCCTCTGCCTCCTGTTGCTGCACCTCCTTCGCAATCAGGATTCTCTCATCACTATGGTACAAAATCTGAGGCATTATCTATGAGAAGTCAGTGGAAGAAAGGAAATCTCATTGGAAGTGGAACATTTGGCAATGTTTATGAAGCCACCAACATGTCTGTATATTTTCCTGTTTGATGGATGGGTTTAACATCTCTTTCTTCTGCTTTCACTTGACTTAATTTCTTTTGCAGACACACTGGAGCTTTATGTGCAATGAAAGAAGTTAATATAATTCCTGATGATGCCAAATCAGCTGAATGCGTAAAACAGTTGGAACAGGTTAATTTTTTGTATCAATTTATGCAATTCTCAAGTGATTATTAATTTATTATAATCATTTTTTCACGTCTGTAGGAACTGTTTCCTTTTTTATTTAGATTGATAATTTCTTGGATCATATCTGAGATGGCTAATGTTCAAAGTTCAAAACCTTGAATAATTTTGACTGATAAGTACTGTTTCTAAGTGGCCTGTTGTTTTGCTACTCTTGTAGTGCTTTTCTAAGTGGTGTGTTGTTTAGCTACTGTTATAGTGTATTATTATTAATTTTGTTATAAGTTCTCTTTATTATTTTAGTGATTTCATTTGTCTGAACTTTAAAGTTGGTTGTATGCCTGTTGATCATCCTTTTTCTCCCTCATTTTTGCAGGAAATAAAGTTTCTCAGCGAATTTAGGCATCCAAATGTTGTGCAATATTATGGGAGTGAAACAGTGAGTTTTTGTTGGTTACACTGCTACTTTTGTGCTCCCTACTTTTGCAAAACATTTTAGATGTATCTTTTTTGTTTTTTATGTGCAGATTGATGACCAGTTTTACATATATCTTGAATATGTTCATCCTGGTTCAATCAATAAATATGTTCACCAGCATTGTGGAGCTATGACAGAATCAGTTGTCCGCAATTTTACCCACCATATTCTCAAAGGGTTAGCCTACTTGCATGGTAAAGATATAATGCATAGGTATGTACCTATTTAGGTGTATTTTCTAAATTGATTAATTAATTAATTAGAAGTCATCTTTATTCTTGAGGAGTGCATAATTTTTTTTTTGTTTCTTTGACATATTTAACAAGATGGAGAGATCGATGGTGATATTATTCATGAAGTAAAAAAATGATGATTAAACGACGAGGGCTATCATAGTCTTGTATGATTATTGGATATCTTTGAGATTAAAAGAAAAATTTTATAAGATAATCGTGAAACCAAAAATGCTTTATCGATCTGAGTATTGGGTAATTAAGACACAACATATACAAAAAATCTGTGTTGCCAAGATGAGAATATTGAGATGGATGTGTGAAGCTACGAGGAAAGATAGGAGAAGAAATACTTTTATTGATCAATAATTAGATATCGCATCGATAAAGGATAAGATGAGAGAAAATTGTTTAAGATTGTATATGTATGTGCTTAGGAGATCTCAAAATGTGGTGGTAAAAAAAGGTGAAATAATTAATGTTAGTCGTACAATGAGAGATAGAGTAAGACTTAAAAATACCTTAATAGAAACTATAAATAAAGATTTAAGTACTCTGAACTTAACATATAGCTTTTTCCATATCTCAGTGGCTGCAAAAAATCCATCTAGTCGTCCCAAATAGTTGGGACTTATGGCTTTGTTGTTGTTGTTATTTCTCGACATATTTAACATATGGCTTTTTCCTTGTTCTTTAATGAGTTGCATAATGTTTGGATTCTAGTTTGTTGTTGGCTTAAAGATCATATTTGTCTTGTTACATTAATTAGCAACCAAGCAAGTATTGTTCAATTTAGACATGGTAATGGAAAGTCTTGGTCATGCACTCTTTTAATTATTTAAAGGAATCATCTTTCGTAGAACTTTTTTAAGCTAGTTATTGCCTATGACTTGTTTGTTGACATTTGGCTTTCTATATGCTTTTCTTTTGTTGCTTGAATAATTGGTATAAGCAAGGTTTGACTTACCAGTCCAAGCCAGTGTGTTGGTCGGCCAGCCGTGCCACTCCGTATTGGTGTACCAACACATAGCATGTAGGTGCGTATCGATATTTCTACGAGGAAGAAAAAAAGGTTGAAGAGGAAGGTCCGATGGAGGAACAGAGGAGGAAGGAGAAAGGAAGAAGGAAGAAGAAGAAAAGGAGTTGTAGAAGAAGTGCAGTGATACCTGGGAAGCAGCGCCAGTGTTGAAGGGAAGCAGTAGCATCACAGCAATGAAGAGGCGGTGCCGCTGCAGCATCGCAGCAGCGAAGCAACGAAGAGGCAGCGCTGCTGCAGCATCGTAGTGGCAAATCAGTAAAGAGGTAGTGTTGCTGCAACATTGCAGCGGTGAAGAGGCAGTGCTGCGGCTTCATGCGCTAGAAGAGCCCTAATATGTTTTTCTTTTTAACACTGAAATGGACTGGGGCCCACCACTTTTTGATTTTTTTATTATTTTAATGCAGATCGTCTGAAACGGGGTGGTTCGCGTGTCAGTCCACACCTGGACCAGTATGTACCGCAAAAACCGTATCGTTTCAGGCGATACAGCAATCCCTGGGTATAAGATGGTTGAGATATTGGAATTCCTATATCACTTTGCCTTTGGATTAGAAGCTGTAGTTTCATCTGGAGAAGGAAGTAGATTTGACATCATGGAGAAAGTGAACAAGTATTGTGATTGAGGACTAGCTTCAGATTGTGTATAGAAGTTTCTTGTGTAGAATATACATACTAAATGGAAGTGGTAGTCCATAGCTTTTATCTCCAGTCACGTCTTCTACAAGTGACCCTTCTTCCTTATCATCCCATGCCACAATCAAGTTTGCTTGTGAGTACATTTTGTTAATCAGAAAAGGTACTATTCAGCAAGGATTTTAATTTCGAATAATACGACCCGTATCGGACGGTATGTACCGGTTTGTCAGTAGACCGGTACGTGGACCGCCTGCTACCGGGCGGTAGCGCCGATTGGGGTTGTTTCCTCTTCGTTATCGTCCGAAATTGATCGATGTATTAGCAGAGAGAGAAGAAAGAGAAGAGGGAGAAGAAAAGAGAAAACCTGAAGATCCGTAGCTGCCCTCCCTCGTCGAACACCGCAGATGATGTCGCCTCCTCATCTGAGACGATGAAGCCTCGACGACTTCTCCTCATCCCTGTGGGGAGAGAAGAAGCCTCGGTGATGTCGCGAGGAGAAGTGGTTTCTTCTCCCCATGCAAGCAGAAGGAACGAGGCGTTTTTTTTTTTTTCTTTCTTTTTTGTGTGGGTTTCTTCTCCCCGCGCGGGCAGAAACCGAGCGATGTCGTCTTTTTTTTTTTCGCCCGAGGAAACCGGGCGACGTCGCCTTTCTCTCTCTTTTTTTTTTCACATGGGGAGAAGGAAACGGTTTCTTCCCCCCACGCGGGCAAAAACCAAGCGACGTCGCCTCGACAACGTCACCTTTCTTTCTTCTTTTTTCGCACGGGGAGAAGGAAACCTCCTCACGTGGGTAGAGCATGGGGAGTATTGAGGCGACGTAGTTTATATATATATATATATATATATATATATA